GGTGGACTTCAAATTCTGGTCACATGACCATGATTTGCAACTTCCTTCCTCTCATGCATTAAAGTAGTATTTTTCAAAATTAAAATAATAAAATTGGTATACTTACCTGCTTCATGGTATGGTATTGCATAGAGCAGCCCAGAACCTCCTCTTCTGGAGTCTCATGCCAATGCTCTTGGCTCCTTCTCTTCTCATTCTATGGTGGCACCCCTGTGGGCTCTATCACCATTGACACACCAAGAGAGGTGTTTGTACAACATGAGGTCCTCAGCCTCCCTGATCCCTCCTCACAGGATTTGATTGACAGCAGCAGAAGCCAATAGCTCTCACTACTGTCTCTGAGCCAGTGAGGAGAGAGATAGAGACCAGCATTGCTCCAGACTTACTTTAATGCAGGGAATACATTAGCGTAAAGATGTCTAGCCTTTAGAACTGCTCTCAGAAAAATATAATGAGATGACTTGAGAACAGTATAGTCTGGATATTTGCATGACAGAGAAGTTGCTGTTTCTAGAACATCAGAATACTTGCAAAATGAAATGTAGCAGTTTAGAGTGTTGACCTGGTGCATGGGAACAGTGCTTATAGACCAATATATACTATATATATATATATATATATATATATATATATATATATATATAGAATATGGCCAAAATTGTAGCATTTCAAATATATGGCAATATGTTTGGGAAGAATATTTTTAAAATATATTTCAAATATATTCCTTCCATGTGGGGTATGTCAGGTTTTTTTTACTGTCTGTCCCCCTGTTGATACAAAAAGTGATGGGAAATCTCTCCAACAAGAAGATTTAACAACAAAAAGAGTATGAACTCTAGCTGTCCGGCCTTCCTGTCCTGGTAATAATCACTTTGACTTTTTTTTTTTTTTAAGGGTTTTAAAGAGAGGAGTGAAGTAAAATATCCCCAGTGGTATTACAGACAGAAGTTAAACCAGGCAAACATTTTACATTTCGCCCACGGTTTTCCAAAACTAGAAAATGTCAGTTGTAGTTAGGCTTTAAAAATCAGTTATGTCAAATATCTGTGCATTTAAATAATTCATTTTTAGTTTTGCCTGGAGTATAGGGTAACATTAAAGTGGTATGGAAGGTTTGCCTTTTTTTTAACAACAAACATGTCATACTTACCTGCTGTGTGCAGGGGTTTTGCATAGAACTGCCCCGATCCTCCTGTTCTTGGGTCCTCCGCCAGTGCTCCTGGCTCCTCTCCCTTTACCAGTGCTCCGAACAGCAAGGTGCTTTCTATGAGTGCACTGATAAATGCTTGCACCCGAGTCCTGCTATATGCGTCCATAAGACACATTGAGCCGTGGCTCGGCCCAGCCCCCTGCTCTCTCATCATTGTCTCACTGGCTGTGAATGACAGCAGTAGGAGACAATGGCTCCCGCTGCTCTCTCTCTCTCAATGAGGAGAGGGAATCCAGGTACACCTGAGGCTCTTGTGCACATTGCTGGAGCAGGAGGGGGCTCAGGTGAGTATTTGGGGGGCTGTGGGGGGAGCAGCACACAGAAGGTTTTTTTTACCTTCATTCACAGAAAGCATGAAGGTAAAAAACTTTCAGCCTTTACGATCACTTTAAATAAATGATCAGTCTCCACAATATTATTTACCTATTTGGAGAGAGGTTAGTATCTTGAAACAACAGCTTCTGTTTCTAAGAGACTTTGAGTTAATTTACAGAAGACAAATAAGCTGTTTACTCGGCAAGGGAATTTTCACTTACTGTAACTTAGTGAATGCTGTGAAAATTCATTTTGTAAATGTAGAACCCTCCTAGTTAGCTAGAGGGAGCTAGAGTCCTGATTTATAGAGAGAAGGGTTGAGTAGGAGCCTGGGTGCAATAATCAGGAGGTCCAGTTTGCGTTAGGAGCTGAAAGGCTCTGCAGACCAGCTCTATGGAAATTCCCCTTGCTCTAGGTCTTTGGAGAAAGGTCTAAAAGCAGTGGGCAGATCTGAGGAGTGTGGCTGGTCTGAACTCTTGAAGGATCCTGGCTGAACCCCAACAGGAGGCCTGGAAAGGGGCTTGGACAATATTTAAAAGTTTCTGAGCCTGCTCAGCTGGAGGAAAGTTTGGGTGGAAGACAGTAAGGAAGATGTGAGTCTGAAGGCAGGAGCCTGGGAGGGGGCCCAGATGGAGAGAGGGGCTCACCTACAAGCAGTGGAGCTGGAAAGGAGGTAAGCTCAGAATTTCACTGGCGCCCAGAGCAAGGACCACCTGTATAGCAGGGAAGGAGTGGCCCAGCTAAAAGGCCTGGTAGCAGCCACCAACCCATCAGTGGTACAGGAGAGGATCTGAGTGAGTACCCCTGCACCACCTGCGCAACTAGAGGAAGGAGCACTCTTGTGGGAAACCAGATTCACCACCTACCTGGGACTATCCATTTCTTAAAGTGTCAGGAACCGGATCCCTTGTTCAGGGATACCTCCAGATTGCTGGGTGAAAGAAGAAGAGTTAATCTAGGGTCTGGGGTGGTACATTAAGGAGATGCTGGCTAGCTCTACAACAGAAACTGTGTTGCAGTGAAGGCTTGTGAATAGTTCCAGGAAGTTATCCTCAGTACATCAGTTCCCTTGGGCATCCTGTACACCCCTAACCCTATCCCAGTTCAAATCTCACTAGTAAAAATAATCAAGGACTGATCTCTGACTCTGGATGTGGGTCCGTGTAGAGGTGCATGTCTCCTGGCTGTGCAGGACTATAAGGGGACCCGAAATCTTTTGCAACTCTTAGCCTGGGTTCACATATATGCGGTGCGGTATATCGCACGTGATTCGCACAGGAACCACACATGCGATTTGTGTGTGGTGCTATTGGAGCCATACATTTTGTATGGCTCTAATCGCACTGCACCCACACCAAACTTCTGCACATCGCACCACATTTTGCGGACCACTTTTGGGGTGTTGTTAACATACACACCCACAGCAGTTCACACGAACAGGGTGCGATTTTGATGCGGTGTGGAATTCACACAGAAAATGCTGCAAATTCTGCACCACATCAGTGTGACCCCGGGCCAAAGGGGGTAGTGCTACATGAAGAATACCCAATTCACGTGCAAGGAAAATAAACAGAAATGTACTTTTACTTACACTTTATTGGATAATAGAAGTCAAAAGAGTTTCATGTCAGTTTCCAAGCTAATGGCAAATTATCTTTCAAAGTGAACAGCCTATTTGGCTTTAATAAAGCAACCTCCTAGACACACGTCAAGGCACAAAAATAATTATTTATATTTTTTTGTTTTGCCTTACATAGACTGCAGCAAGGGTATTGAGGTTCTTTGTGTTGCATCATTAGGTCATATCTGATACAACAAAAATGAAACACCAAATTATAATATATGAACTTTAACTATCTGAGGAAGTAAATAAAGAAATTACAGTAAATATAAATTAGGCACATTTAAAACCAAATCCCAAGGAACTTTATAAAGCTGAGCATCTATATGAAAAATATATGCTAACATGATCAACTAAGATTGAGTGGAGATACTAATTAATCCCCTTGAGACCACCTTCTTAGTCCTCCAAAATAAAACTTGTATGTAAATATACTTTATGAAATGTACATAACCTAGCAACTGCACAATAAATTCATATTGACCACAAATACACCAAATGAATTCATGTTTACAATATGTAAGCTAAACATGCAAAGCTAACAATCACATGTTTATCAGGAATCAATATTTAAACTTGATCATCACCTATTGTAGTTCATGATGTGGATTTGTGATAGGTGATGTTTGGCTGCAATCATATTTAAATATTGATTCTTGTTCTAACCATGCTTACTAAGATTGCAGATTGGCTTATATATTGTAATCATGAATTCACTTAATTTATTTGTGGCAATCATTATACATTTATCCAACAAAACTGTCTTGATTAGCTATATAAAGGAAACCTACACTAAGGAAAATATGTAGCCTGCCATTGGCACAGCACAACTTTTATTGAGGATTCCATAGTTCTACTTTAATTTCAGAAAGATACTGTACATTGCTTACATTTTTTGCTAGGTAAAAAATACTTTTAAGGATGTATTAATGAATAATAATAAAGGATGTAATAATGAATAAAGGGTGCAAATGACTATTGCATTATCTTTAGCACTTTAATAGGTAAGGAAAATAAAAAATATACTCACAAGCCCAATAGGCTGATAGCATGTAAAAAAGTCTAGGGCAGGGGTTTCAAACTCCATTTCTTCGCGGGCCGTATCAGCAGTATGGTTGCCCTCAAAGGGCTGGTTGTATCTGTAAGACTAAATGTCCAGAGCACCTCACCCCCCATTACATCAGATGTCAAGAATCCCACACTTTCTCTAACATCACCGTGCACTCCCTTTGGGGTCAAAGCTGGAAAGAAGAAAGTGCAGGGTCTGGAGGAGGACCAGAGGAGGACTGGAGTCAGTTACCAGAGTCTGCTGAATGCTGAGATAAGGGGAGGCAGGGATGAGGGGGTGCTGCAGCTGCACTGAGAGGTGCAGGATTTGGAAGAGGCGTTCTGTCCTCCTCTCTGCTACCGACTGCTGAGACAAGGTGCAGACGGAGACAAGGGGGTACCTGCAGGAGAGGTACAAAGGCCACATGAAATGGCTTGGAGGGCTGGATTCGGTCTGCGGGCTTTGTGTTTGCAACCTGTGGTCTAGAGATATTCTTTTTTTTTTGGGGGTAACTTGGATAGGGATAGGGATAGTGATAGGAATAGGGTATTGTATGGGGTACTCCAAAACAAACAAGAGAACACTCTTCATTATAGCCGAACTTCAGAACAAATATCTTCTGCCAGACTCAGAACAAAATCCGCTATGAAAGACTAAAATAACAGTTCTCCCACAGTGACACTGAGAAGAGGTGTCTTTATGAATCTCTCAGAAAAATAAATGACTCAGCACAGGTTTAGCAAACAGAATTTCACAAACTAGAGGGGGTGGTTGGTATGTACCTCTCAAGAGAGGAACTACAGATCCAGGGGCGGACTGACAACTCATGGGGCCCCCGGCAATAGGGGATCATGGGGCCCCTGTGTCCTTGCCAAAACTCAAAAAAGCCTATGAAAAAGGTACCAGGGGCATCTCATGGGGCCCCCTACTGACCCCGGGCCCTCGAGCAGTGCCTGAGTTTCCAAATGGTCAGTCCGCCCCTGTACAGATCCCAGCAATCTCATTAGTGCACAGAACCAAGAGCTGGAGCCAAAACAGTTAAAGTGATTGTAAACCTCAGAAATGAAATATGAACAAAACATATCCTTCTACAGTGTGTACTTGTCTCAATCCAGAGCACTAAGTGTCGTTTCTATCCACTGCCTCGTTCCTCTGCATAAATCCCCTTTGACAAGTTTACCTGACACCAAGAAAGAAATGGTGACAGGAGAGGGATCTCCAGCAGATTGACAGCCTTAGCTCTATACCTGTGTGCTGTGTAAAGGGGGGGGGGGGGGGTGTCCCTTCCCTCCAATCAGCTCTCATGGCTCTCCTCACTGAAATCTACAGTGTGTAAATTCAGCTTCCTGTCCTCTGTTTTTCAGAGCTGAGATATGCTATGTAAATTCTGCATTTTCAAGGGATGTAGAGAATTGAGGATACAGATAAACAGGTACAACTTATGCAGGAGTATTTGTTTCATTTCCATGTATCACCTAAAGCCAGCCACCTCACTGGGTATGCATAAGGGTTTAAAACCACTTTAGGCTTAGGATTAGACTCTATGAGAGCAGTCTGCCCTTAGAACAACTACAGGCTTTGTTACTAGAGAACAGTTCTCCGCTAACAGGCACAAAGTCCCAGATCAGATCAGTACTCACAAGTGTCCTTTAGGTAACTGGATGCCTCCTTCCAGTACCGCAGACATATTCCAGTGAGGGAGAGGTTAACCAGATTTATAACACCATCCAAATGGGATTATTGATAAGAGACACAAGTAATCCAAAAACAACACTGAAGTATGAGCCCCCAAGCTAGCCCTAGCTGAGACCTTTCTGAACAGTGACTTGGGGTGAGGGGTAGCCAACCCCAACCTGAACAGGTGGAATCCCTTGCAGGAAGACAATGCTGTTTTGCCCCTCAGACTATTTATACACCATCCCAGCAACCATCTGGGCACCTCCCCATGGACTGGCTAGGACTGCATACATATTCAGGTGTTGATTTGATTCTCCCAGCCCATTGCTTTATAGAACTCAGAAAACAGAGGGAAGCAGTCTGTTGTGCAACCTTAGTAATCACAAGCAGCTCCACAGATTACAGAGAGCTAGTAACCAAATTTACCTTACCTAGCACCTATCCAGGCAGGTACTACATCAGTAAGATTCTGCTTCCATGATTCATCCCAAACTCATTTTAACACAAATTACAAGCAAGTAAAAAAAAAAAACCACCTGTGTACAAAAGTCACTTTCAGAAGCAGACTGACAACTCATGGGGCCCCCGGGCAAAAGGGGATCATGGGGCCCCTGTGTCCTTGTCCAAACTCAAAAAAGCCTATGAAAAAGGTACCGGAGCAACTCATGGGGCCCCCTACTGACCCCCGGCCCTCGGGCAGTGCCCGAGTTTCCAAATGGTCAGTCCGCCCCTGGTCACTTTTATTGTATGAACGGTTAGAAGTGAGTACTAAAACTGTTCTAGATGTATTAAACCATAACTAAGGAAAGGGGGGCCCATCATGTTATATTAAACTAGCAAAGTGTGCCCATCTCTAATGGGATGAGTTACAAGTTACATTAGACAAGATACAACATTCACACAATCTGACCTTTTTTGGGGATGTTAATCTCAGTGTCCATTAAGTACCATTAGAACCATCAGATTCCAGCTATCAGAGTATATAGCAGTTGGGCAGAGTAGAAAGCCTAGTATGATTGTCCTTTTTTCCCCATTATAGAGAAACATAGAGGCTTACATTGATGACTTCTTATTCCGCAATGCTGTCTGTACTTGACTGGCTGTCAAACTGACCCTTCAGCTTCAATACCTTGAGTAATTGACCAAGAACATAATAAGGATTTCTGATTTTAATCTAAGGTTTCTGATATGCTCACGTGTTCCAGGTCAGTGAATCAGAAAGTACTGAACCCAAAGAGTCAGCATAACAACTAGGTAACCAGCATTTTCAGAAGGAGGTGACCAAGGACAGCCCTCATATTTCTGCCACAGAAGGTTCAATAGCATGGAGCATACATCATCCTGTCTTTGTGTATGTTAACAAACCTTATTATAACTGGTTATATTTACTTCATCAAGCACATGTCTATTCTGCCAAACATGTTGTTTATTTTTTTTAAACATTTAACTCCCTTGGTATTTGCAGGTATAATGTATGAATGGCAGCTGATTGGGTAGCAATAAATCCTGGTGAACTCTTGGTGCCCTATGCAATAACAGAAGTGTTGGGATTTAATCCACGAGTAGTCTATACTGACATATTATGCACGTACCTTATGTATTTTATGAATATGTAACCTCTCAAATGAGAATTTTATGATATACACTATATTCTCAAACGTATTGGGACCCCGCTCCAAATCATTGGATTCAGGTTCCAATCACCTACATGGCCACAGGTGTTTAAAATCAAGCACCTAGGCATGCAGACTGCTTCTACAAATATTTGTGAAAGAATGGGTCGCTCTCAGGAGCTCAGTGAATTCAAGCATGGTACCATGATAAGTTGCCACTTGTGCAGTAAGTCCATCCATGACATTTCCTTGCTACTAAATATTCCACAGTCAACTGTTAGTGGTATTATAACAAAGTGGAAGCAACTGGGAACAGCGGCAACTCAGCCACGAAGTGGTAGGCCGTGTAAAATGACAGAACAAGGTTGGCACATGCTGAAGCGCGCAGAAGTCGCAACTGTCTGCAGAGTCAAAAGCTAAAGACCTCCAAACTTCCTGTGGCCTTTAGATTAGCACAACAACAGTGTGTAGAGAGCTTCATGGAATGGGTTTCCATGGTCGAGCAGCTGCATCCAAGCCTTACATCACCAAGTACAATGCAAATCGTCGGATGCAGTGGTGTAAAGCACGCCGCCACTGGACTCTAGAGCAGTGGAGATGTGTTCTCTGGAGTGATGAATCACACTTTTCTGCCTGGCAATCCGATGGATGTGTCTGGGTTTGGCGGTTGCCAGGAGAACGGTACTTGCCTGACTGCATTGTGCCAAGTGTAAAGTTTGGTGGAGGGGGGAAATTATGGGTGTGGATTTGCAATTCAGAGGTTGGGCTCGGCCCTGAAGTTCCAGTGAAGGGATCTCTTAAGGCGTAAGCATACCAAGACATTTTGGACCATTTCATGCTCCCAACTTTGGGGGAACAGTTTGGGGATGGCCTGACCTCAAGCTGATAGAACACCTTTGTGATGAATTAGAGCGGAGACTGCGAGCCAGGCCTTCTTGTCTGACATCAGTTCCTGACCTCACAAATGCACTTCTGGAAGAATGGTCAAACATTCACATAGACACACTCCTAAACCTTGTGGACAGCCTTCCCAGAAGAGTTGAAGCTGTTAGCTGCAAAGGGTGGGCCAACTCAATATTCAATTCTACGGACTAAGACCAGGATGCCATTAAAGTTCATGTGTGTGTAAAAAGCAGGCGTCCCAATACTTTTGGCAATATTGTGTATATTGTGACAGTACGTGACTCTGTGAGAATATAGGAAATATGACACAGGATTTGCATTTCAGGTGAATGCAGTGTTTTAGACTAGTGTTTCTGGGCAGAGAAAGCTGTGGATTTGGCTTTCCCTGGTTTCTGCAACTCTGGATTGGAATATTAAGAGTTGATACACACATGTGCAGTGTGGATTTAAGCTCAGGTTTCACAGCTAATTGATACAGTAGGTGTTCAGAGGTTCACATCAGGTTTGCATCAGGTTCAGGACAGGATTAGCTCAGGATCTTATCTTGTTCACACATAGAAGTCAATAGCCTGTAATCCGCACCTGAACTGGACCGCACTTCTCAGAAATCAGACGACTCTTTTTAAAACTGCACTGAATCCGCACTGAATCCACACCACCAGTGCTCCGGACATATGTGAACAGGCACCATAGGAAGAAAAAGTTTTCATGTCATGTGGATTGGATGCTGTTCAAACTGCATCCAATCCACATATATGTGAACAGGCACTCAATCCTATGTCTGGGTTTTGCTAGACACCTGCAATCTGGCTGAGTACACAGGTGTGCAGTGTCATTATATACTCAGATCTGAGGATAGCTCAGAGCTCCCAGTTTGGAGACCGCTCCCAGTGTAGGAGATTGAAGGTCTCCTTGGGGGGGGGGGGGTTAGAGGACCCAGCCAGAAGCCAACAGACAAAGGTTTCAATTTCAGGAGTCAGGTCAACTCCTATTGGGGTGTCAGGAGAACCCCAGTCCTTAGGCCAGAGGTGGGCCATGAAGAAGGATGCTGTGACTAAAGGCTAGAGAGCCAGGTATCCTGGAGATCTGGACAACACAATCTGAGGGATAGTAAGAGGTGCAGCCTGGTACTGCAGTCAAAGCTTAGTGATCTTATGAGCCAGGTGGCTTGGCATTTTCAAATATGTGTATTTCTGCTGAAGTTGGAGAAGATCCCCTGCGTGGGATCTCATTCATTTGTGAACGTTCTCTTTCTTTTAAATAAAAGTTGGCTGCCAAAATTGTTCCTGCCTGCTTTGGACTAAAATAACCACGAGAGCTAGCTTCCCCATAACACAATATGCATGATAAAAATAATTTTTTTTGTATTTTTTGTATTTATGGCAATTGTTTATGCTTTCCTGGGGCACATAACAGAGGCGTTGGCTTTTATTTTATACCATTGTCCCCATTATCTATGGAGAGGTGGATTGGACAACTAATATTACCTGATTTATGGCACGTACAATGCAAGTATGGAAGGCGAGATCAAGAGGTTAGCATGGCCAATTTAAAAAATGTACCACAACAAAATGCTCGAGTGATTTAATTATGTGATCTGCTTTTGCAACTGTTTAAAGTAAAAGAGCTTAGCTTGAAAAATAAGGTGGGTCCTAAAAAACGTGTTGCAGCCCCCCCCCCCCGTCTGTCATAGTCTCCTGTCAATGGTGCGAGTGAGGGGAATTACACGACCGGCATTCCATCTCTGAGCAGGTCCCTGCCTGTGTCCTGCAGCTACCATTGGTTTATCCAGGCTGCAGAGAGC